GTTTGTTGCTCGTATATATCGCGAAGCTCGACGTCTTTCAGGCGCGGTATACATTATCGCTTCTCCACAGCATATTAAGAGAGACGATGACAATGCACGGTCTTGCCCGCATACAGAGCATATCCGATGAACATGTCATTCGTGGAACATGTCGATATGAGTCTCCGTGAAACACCTGTGAATCATTAGCGTAGCTATTGTCTAAGTCACGCTTGTTAAATACGCAAGATTACTTCCGGAACATCGATGGCAGTTGCCTGCTCCGTTTTCATCCTGCGGCCATCAAATCTCGTTCCAAGGGACATAAAGTTCAAAATTGTACGTAGTGGCAATTTACTGTTGTGAATTTAAGAGCTCGTTTATGAAAGCTTAGAAGCAAACATTTGAATGAATTATAATATCGCTTTATTTTTTATTTCAAAAGTGATATAATTAAAAAAATATTTTTTCGAGTTATTACCATGAATGAGTTGGATAAATATTATTCGATCAATCATCAAAATTAGAATAACTTAAACTCATAAAAAATCGTTAAAACATCATGAATCAAAAATTGATGATTTAAAAAAAAATTATCATAAGAATGTATTCTTTACCAATATTATTTGATTAGTCAATAATTTTCTCTCAAGTTGAAAAATGAGATTTTTTTCCTTTTATGAGAAACTTAATTTTTTGAATTGTATTATTTTTGAAGTAAGAGAACACTATGATCTTCATGACATTAAACACTTTGAAAAATCTGATCACTTATATAATAAGTTTGCTGGAGAATATTATTATATGAATGTCGGAATGAGATGACAGTTGTTATATAATATCATTATTTCAGCGAGTCGCTGTGCTCTAGCTAATTTTTTTTTTCCCAAACAGGAAATTGATTTTGGTGCTGGCGAATACCAGCTGTCATGGACGCGATAGCACGTAGGATAATTCATACGGTCGGATGAACACGACACGTTATTACGTTAACGTTTCTGACAAGGAATTCCCTAAATTCATCTCCTTCACATTGAACTATTTTTTGTTGAATATTTTTTAAGTTTCTAATATTTAAAAAAATTAAATGTAAAATTAAATATAAAAAAATTATATTTTATTAATTGCGAATTTACAAATTAAGATTTTTTAAATATATATGAAGTGTATCTATAGAACGAGTGGGAAGCTAGTTTCTGATTTAGAATGATCGGCTTTTGCTCTATAAATCTACCAAGTTTTTATCAGAAAATCAAAGGGCGAGGATTTGTGAACGTTTGTTGTGAAAGATCGTTTATGACGGTCGTTCCTGAGATAGGTGCCCGCAAAACTAATGCATTTCTAATGCTCTACGTGCTCGTGAAGATGTAAAAGTTATGGCACTTTGTCGACTCTTCCGAGTCTGATCATCCCCGAGTCTTTCATCCCCGTAGTTTACTGTGTGAGGTATATTTTCATTCGTGACCGTCAGTATTTTACGGGACGATTAAAAATTTAGCTGCCGCCCGTTAGCGTAAAATTAACTTACTTTCAGCTGTCGGAAACGCCTTTAACCGGCATAATATTAATGGAGCAGCTATAAACGGTACATTTTCCGGTGAAATTGTTGCATATTACTGCATCATTTAACAACATTGAAAGATAAATACCCGGAGTACACGAGTAACTTGATTCCTTTGGCTGGCTTTCAAATTGTTGAAAACATTGCAGACTACGCTTTCTCTATTGAAATACACTCGTAATAACATCACTCAATACAGAATCAACAAAAGTATTATCGGGAAAGTATTGTGCTTTTTCTATTTGCTCACACAATGAATTCATTCTTTATTCATTGAATATTCTGAATACGAAATGCTAGCAGTGTTTCCTCAAATGAAAAATTTTATTTCACGAAGTTATTATTTAATGAAGTACATTGTCAGTGCATTTAAATTTTTGCTAAACAGATTTATTCTTTAATAAAATCTATTAACATTACATATCTACAATGTGTATTTATCTAATAATTTAATTTTATAAAATGGCGTTTGGTATTTATAAAATAAAAGAGTAAAAAAGGAATTGCAGGAATGTAGATCGCGAATTTTCAATTTCTTTCCTAGGAAAGAGTCGAGTGTTCTTTTTGCTGCAGAGAGATCGGCGATTGGTATGCAACTTTTTTTGGAACATCGCAATACATAGTCACTGTTAACCTACTCAGAATTGGTCGTCGGCCAACAGCAATTCGGTATTGTGTATATAGGGAAGCGGGTCCACAATTTCTCAATCGATTTTGTCGTAAGAGGACGCCAGGCTGCCGGAAGTTCATTACGTCGGTACTTGCCTCCTCGTCTCTGCGGACAATGCCCCTCGATCCTGGCAATTCGCCAGTTTTGTCGTGCATTTTTACGTTTTGATATTAGGCCAAATTCTTGCGGTGTGAGCATCTATCTATCGCTTTCACCTCGGCGGTGACACGTTGTGTTTAAATATCAGCGGACTCGGACAGAAGTGGAAGAATTCTGGGTGGAAAGTTTCGACTGGAATTTGGAGCAGGTCTCTCGGTTCAGAAAATTGGAGCGAATTTTCGGGTCGTCTGTCATCACTTTTATAAACTCTCACTTTTATAACGCAAAATGTTTTCGAAAAAAAATAAAACTCTTGCTACCGGGTTGAAATTTATTGTAGAATTGGGACGAAATAAATTTCTAACTGCTGGTCATTTATTTACTTGTTTTAATCTGGATCGTTTCACTTTTCGATGAAACTCACTGTCTTACTCTCTTTCTTGTGCTGTTATTTTTTTTACTTTTTTTGTTTATCCAGTAGATAAATTTCCACATAATTTATCCGAAGATGGAATAGCTGATTCTCAAACATAAAATGTGAAGACATTATGTTAAGAGGATTATACAGAGGATTGAAGGAGAACGTCAAGTTATCTCTTTATATTATGTATCGGAAATATCCTCTTACGATTCCTTACAGAAGTTTTCTTTACAAGAAGAGTAAAATAGTGATTCCCGGGTACAACATAAAAGTTGCAGCAAATTCCGCTTAAGTGCCACTCCGTTGTAATTCTTTAAGCGGGAGAGGCTTATTTATCCTTCAGGAAAATCTACGACAGGAGACTCGACGCCGGCGATCGATACGGAACGCGGGACAATAAAGCGCACGACGCATTTCTCACGTTCGGTTTCTGTTTCCCTCTCGGGTTTCAAGAATTGATTTTGTCTCGGCTATTCTCGCTGTCTTAAGTTGCGCAAACTGAAAGGTATCGAGAGTGTTTGTCGGTACATGCCAAGTGAAGACTAATGATGACAGTCAAACAAACGAGCCGTCGAATGAAATAATCATATAAATCAACAAAAATAAAATTCTCACATATATTAAGCCTTATATGGAATTATTTTTATTATAAATTTATTTTAAATATATACATATAAATATTTATTAGGCGTTTAAATATACACATTTAAATATACACGTTTAAATTTACACATTATCTTAGATCTTTGCGTGCGAGAAATAGTTTTCACATTTAGCGAACAATTTAAAGATTAAGAATCAAACCTACATAAAACACGCAGTAGATTGTGTAGATGGAGTAACAAATATTGTAGATGAAATAGTTTGCAGTAGCAATAAATATATCTCATATGTAGGAACGTGACAAAACGTCCTAGGAATTTCTGAGCGTCGGCGTGTGTCGACGGAACGTGCCCATACTTTTATTCCGCTGCGCACTTCTTCAGTTTTATCTCTACATATTACGTTACCGAGCCGATAACAGAATTATGCGTATAAACGATATGGCACTTGCCGCGTCATACATCGAGTTCGTCTCTCATCTTTCATTAGCATGCTATGTTAAATTCATTTATACCCAATTTGAGTTGTTTTTCGTCATTTCTGTAGGTCGTAATTTTACTTCTATTCAACATATCCTTAATTTAAAAATAGAATTAAACAATTTAACTAAAAAAAAAGAATATATTAAATTTGACTCAAATGTAGTTTTTTCATTTGTTTCAAAGTGTCCAAACTATATGCTAAATGCATACAGTAGTCTGGATTTTGAAACTAATCATAGAAATGAATGAATTGATTTACATTTTGATACATATGGTAGTAAAAAATAATGAAATGTTATTTAAGAGATTGGCTCGAGAGATTGGGGTCATAGCTCCTTTGATATCTAAGAATATAACGTCTAGCGTCGTTCTTCATGCAATAATCGCTGTTTGTAGAACAGTAAATTTAGTGATGAATCTCCCCCGTTATTTCGTAAGCTGTTGACAGAAAGAATTGTGAAAGAAACGTTTTGTCTTAAAAAAAAGATTATAGGAAGAAAGAAACACTCATTGACACAGTGACACGATTGATACGGCTCCTAAAGGGTGAGAACATTGGTAACTCGGCACCCCACCGTGCACCCTCTTTTTACCGCCCTCGTATGCACCAGGGGTACGTACGGCTCTTTACACATCGCTCGTTCTCTTTCTCTCTCTTTCGCTCCACATGTATCATTAAGTTGTTCACCCTCGTTTTCATTTGAGTCGCTCGGAGCTCACCCTTGGCACGAGAGAACGCGCGCTGTAGTCGTCGGCGACCACCCCTCGCAACGAACAAAAAAATAATATCGCGCTCGAATGAACCAACATTTTTCTCCATCGCACTTCATCCACGTGGCATAACTCACCTTTCATTTAGAGCCGTCCGTTGAAAAAATAGTTGAATAATAAATATTTTTCTACTCGAAATTATATTTCTGCATTTTATTAATTCATATAAACGAGGTGCTAAAAATTATTTGTTTAAAATTAAATTATCTATTTACAAAAGAGTATTCGTGCAAACGATGCACTTTATGTGTTTCTATGATGTAAATGTAACGAAATATTGCAATCGATATTTTTATGAAACTGCGAGATAAAATAAATAAATAAATATCTTAAAATAGTTTTTATATCTGCGGTAGGCGAGTGTGGTGCGCCGTACGAAATGTCTAAAGTGGTGTGTTCTCTCGATTGTCTCAGGGTGGCGAAGACGCAGAGAATGCAACGGCCACCACGAGCAGTCCGGTGGAGGAGAAATCAGCGGCGAGCAGTCCCTCAGCGGACGAGCAGGTAATCGCACCGACACGTAGCTGCTAGTCCGGTCGAGGAAAAGAAAAAGGAACCCACTCCCTCCGCCCTTACTCCCGTCCCGTCCGTCGAGGATAAGAAAGAGGAGGCGGTCGAAAAAGTCGAGGCCGAGAAAAAAGTAGTCGAGGTCAGTCATTCAGCCGGCGGTCACTCCGTAGCGGACCCGGTAGAGATCCCCGTCTATCGAGTCCAACCAGTCGCGACGCCGTCTATCATTGAGAGGAAAGCCAGTGAGGACCTCCCATCCCTGCCCCCATCCAGTCCACCGCCGACTCCCATAGATCCATCGCCTTTGCAGCAGGCTCGGCAGGCCGCGGCGAACGCCACAGCTCTGGCCGAGGCGCTCAAGCTGCCTGCCGTGGCTGCCGATAAGGAGGAATCGACACCGCCGGCATCACCGGCACCACCGTCCGACGTCGCGTACCCGTCATCTCGCGAGGATATTCTTCCCCAAGAGAATCGTGCAAATGAATCCACCACTACCGCTGTCGCGTCCCCCATATCACTTGATTCCTCTACCGACAACTTGCCCCCGAAGGAAGCGACCTTTGTTCTCGCGGAAATAGAGTGCCTGCCGGTGGTAGAGGCCGAGATCGAAGTCGAGACGTCTCAAGATGTTGCGAAAAAAATTGGGAAGACGTTAGGGAGTAGTCGTGATAATAAGAAAGAGGTGCTAGAAGTAGATAGCGACATTGCGATGAAGGAGAAAGTATTTAAGTGCCAGAAAAGTGAGGCAAATTCGGCGAAGGAAACTCCGCCACTTGCGATGGAATGTGATAAAAATACACAGAGCAAAGGTGCAGAGGAAGTTCCTGATATCGTTGCGATGGCCAAAATTGTGAATGAGGCTTCACCGGTCGTGGAGTGTCAAATAAAGAGCGAGATAAATAACCGTGAAGTTCCGATGAAGATAAATGTACCGTCTAACGTTGAACATAAAGTCGAGGCTGAAACGTTATCGTCGACTGAGATTGAAATAAAAGACGTTTGTCCGGCAGTAAAGCAATATTTATCGTCTGAAAATATAGAAAATCCTTCAGATGAAACACAGCACATAAAATCAACTGAGAAATTGTCAGACTCGGATCTTCCTTCAATTGAAAAATGTGTATCTGTTGACACAGAGAAATTATCGGAAGTTAGTTCTACACTCTTTGCAAAGTCGATCGAAAACTCGTCAAGGGAATTAGAGCAGTCGTCATTGGTAGAAGTTATGGAACAATCGAGCGGAATACCGATCGAATACGAACACGATTATGCAAAGCTGAAAGAAATCAAGGAAGAAGAAGGAGTCCCATTGACAACTTCGCCTATTGAATTATTTATAAATTCCGAGGAGGGTCCGCTGTCAGTTTCGGAGGATATTTTGGTAGAAGCCAGGCCTGCGTTGATCATTCCAGAAGATGACAGTGTAGAAGAGCTTACCGACACCACTGAATCCGTCAAGGTGATTCCCGAAACTGACGAAGAGAAATTGGAGATTGAGCTTGAATCAGATACTGCGTTGCCTACGGAAGAAACCTTGATTTCGGAAGAATTGGAGGATATGTTTGTTCCGGAAAACGCGACAGTTGAACTATTAACTGAATTTGTCACGTCTGATATGAAAAATGAAATGGAAGTAGTCAGTGAAATTGAAGATGTGCTGCCTGAAGATTTAACCGCATTTAGCCCTCAAACATTAGAGCTTCAAAATACAAGTCCAATTGAACTAATTGATAGCAAAAAAGAACCTATTTCAGTCGTTGAGGCAGAACCGTTTACATCCTCCTTGCAACTTGAGCAAACCGAGGAGATCAAAAGGTGTCTTCTTTCATCAAAGGATCGCGTAACATCGCCAGAATTCTGTCCCTTAGATGATATAGAATCAATGCCGTCAGACGCTCCGACGTGTTCCCTCTCAGAAAAGCACTTGAGTGAACCTCAGACGCTAGCTCTTTCACCCGAACCCGAGAGCGTACCTATCTCTTTGGAAGATCTACCACCGGCACCTGAAGACACGGGGACGCAGAGCTTAGATTCCTTCGATTATCCTTTACCACCGGAAGAACTCTCTTGTCCATTATTATTGATCCCTCTCGCGAATATATCCGTAGCTGAATTACCACCAGCTCCCGTCGAGCACGCAGCCAACCCAAGAGACCCGACAGAGACACTCCTCACGCCGCCCTCAAGTCCTAACTTCCAACAGTCCAGTGTCACACCCGGCATCGCGACCGAAACCGCCACGAAAGATCGCTCACAAATTCCCTCATATGACGAAGACGACAGCAGCAATGAACAATCGATGTTGCTGAGCGAACCGCTGACGATGTCATGTGATCAATCGAACATTGAGTTGAAGGAGAGACTGGCGACCGAGTGCGTAGCGAAGACCGAAAGCCAGGAAGAGGCCTTGTCGTGTCAGTTGTCGAACTCCATCCCGTCGACTGCCGCCAAGGAGCATCACCAGGTGACTAATATGCAACACAACCTCCTGGCATGAATGCAGCCGGCCAAAATTCTTTGGCGGGCGCCTCGTTCCACGTATATCTTCGTCGTACGGTTCGCACAGTACTGTCTCTGTGGTCTTATAGCCTGAAAATGAAAATACCGGTTCTCCCGATCTCCACTCTCTTTCCAGAATTTCCTCTCTGTTCAAAAATTATCGAACACGTACTTTGAACTCCAAAAATCTTTTCACTCCCTCATCTCTTTTTTTTTCATATCCAGCGCACAATCTCATCTTTCCGTTCCGTTCTCTCGACGAAGGGTAACATCGAGTGACAGGAGACCTTGAATAACTGACAGTTATTATACGTTATATACGTCCGGGGGAGACCTTGAATAATTCTCGTCTCGAGAACAAAATTATACTTTGCTGTTTGGGTGTGCCGATGCACGACCGGAGCCGGTCAGTCCTCAGAGAATCCGCTAAATCCATTTTCCATCCCGATGCGTCCCCGTTGTGTTTCAACGCCTGAGGGTCTCGTTTCGTGTGCATCCTTCGTTCTGTCGAACGTGATTAACACAAGCCTTACTCTGCTATTCGATGTCCTCCGACGCTTCCGCCCAACTCTCCGTTTTAAAAGCCCATATGTATATTACCATGACTACCTATTGCCACCTGTGTTGTTTGCCTCTTGGTTTTCTTGATAATATTAACACGACCTTTCATATGATTAAAATCAATGCGTTGCAGTAGAGTACTTTTTATGGCGCGGCGAATAGCAGATCATTCGCGCTGCCGCGTCAGTTGATGTCATTTCCGTAGATTTTGAATCTTTTCATATCGAACGCTCTCTTATACTAATAACATAGACGCTCGAATAAATTAGAGGTGCCTCTAGCGTGAATCTCATTGATAGACGTAAAAGCAGTTGGTCTAATGATACGCGCGTGGTAGCTGGCGTTTTAGATATTTTTGATAGACGTGCTCATTAGAAGAGCTCAATACTTACTGTCGTGCTGTTCTCGTACTTGCATCTGTTGTATCGTAAGCATCTTGTACTTGCGCATGCCGAGTTTTCTTATCTGAGGGTTCGCCAGCGGGATTTTCAATTCTTTGCGCTGCCCGAAGCATGACGAAACGATTCTGCTGAGGCATTTTGTCATCGTATGCTGCGCTTCAAGCGAGGAGGTAATAGTCATCGCGATTGTCCAGGCGCGTTAAAACAGGCTAAATTTAGAAATACGTTTTATCGTGTTTAATATGTTTATAAAACAAGATATTTTTAGTGTAATTTATCTAGTAAATTCCGTTTCTATTGTAAGTTACTGCATATTTTCTTACTTATTTATATATAAAGTGGAGTAACTTCGGCCCAAATTTTGATACCCAAACGATATGCATGTAAAAATTGAGATATAAGACGTTTTAAGACATCTTATGTTTTAATTTTGGATATACATATTATATATTTTTTTAAAAATAGCATTTTTTAAAATTGATCGGGATAATTTGAGCCAAAATTATCCCGACTAGGTCAAAGTCATTTCATTTTGAGAAGACAAAAATTCTATTTTGAGCTCTATTCCTAAATAATCTCAGGATATTTACAATCTCCTACTTGAACCGCAACATAATCATCTCGTGATGATTCATTTATGATATTCATTTAAATCTGATGATTCATAAGAAGAGAAGAGATATTGTTTTCTTTATGAACGAAAGGTATTCGGCAGAATCGGTATTACGTCTTCCTTTGTCCTCGTTACAGCATGCTGGGATTTGGACTTGAAGAAAAAAAGAAATGATGAATGAACGAATACGTGACGATCACATAACGAACAGACTTGTATTTTGCAGAACGCTCCGGAAGTTGAGGCGCCAGTAGAAAACAACGTCGCCCACGATGCTAGCACGACGGAGAGTGCCGATGAGGCTCCCAAAGTTGCACCACCCGCTGTCCCGACCGAAGCACCCGCCTCCCCGCCAACAGCACCGGCTATCACTGAGGACGTCGCCTCGGTCACTAAGGTATACTACATACACACACACACACACACATACAACATATATACATATATATATATATATATATATAGATAGATATAATTCTCAGTCTAGCCATAGTCTGAAGATTATAATCACGTATACGTACACTATGTGTCCGTACCTATTATTAGCCTAGAGTGAGTCATTGTCGATGATGCACAGGATAGTATCGATCGACCGTTTCGAAGAGAGTCTCAACAACTCTCTTTATCATTTATTTGCTTTGTGACTGGACATTTTACTTATGTACATTTACGAAGTGTTTTAATGAGAAAGTTGAAGGATAATGGCAATGAAATGAGAATATTATTGTTAAATTATACATTATGAAGAGTTAAAATACAGTAGTATCTTTGTCTCTATATTAACAAATTCTCAATTCAATAACCATTGATATTTGGTCGATAATTAATAAAACAATGAAGATGTAATAATATATCTTGACATGTAATAATATTAGGTGTTGGAATTAATTCGTAGCGTTTTTTAATGAAAGAATGTTATTTATTTCACATGAGCATTAAAAAATACATTAATGAAAGTACTTCCCATCACTTGTAAAACGCTACGAATTAATTCCAACACCTAATATATCTCTGATAATTATCAGATGAAAATTGATTAGACAGTTTAAATAATGAGTTACTTAATATAATTTTGATATTTTTTATATATGCATGATGATCGCCAAGAGATCATTTACGTTCGATGAACATAAATGAGTCTGAAGGTCATTATCAAGTATACTGACCGAGGAAGATTAATGAGCGAGGGGCCATCTGATCATTAATACTGCGATTGCACCTTTTTACGGTGACTAAGCAGTCATAAACGCCATTAATGCTTTTGTTCTCTTTCTCTTTAAAGGCCATCGAGGAGATCGACATAAGTGATAAAGCAGTCGCGGCGGCAGTGAACGAAGCTATCGAATGCAACACGAATGTAAATATCCTTTTTTTCTCATAAAACTTTTGTAACATCAATTCGCACTTAAATAGACAATTCATTAATCTTTTTTTCTTTTTCAGGAAATCATCGCTGACGCGCACCACCAAAACAACATAAACGAATAAGCGCCACTAATCGAATTGTATTTTGGAAAGAAGAAAGTTCTTTTCTCTCGTTAAAACCAAAAAAGTATATTATATAGATATGTATATTTGGACCATTCCTGCAACAGAAAATAACGTTCTTTCGTTACGAGCAGCAAAAGGGAAAAACGGGGCGATGACGACGACGATGACGATGATAATGACGACCGCGGCATCGCGAGAGCATATAGACTCTATAGTAGGCCTATTAATTATTAGATGATGTTTAACAGCAGGGCAAACGAGAATACGTGCATGAAAATTTATGATCGTTTATTCAAAAACTATTATTACGTTCATATATTACATGAAACGTATTCTGGACGAGCACACATAACGTTACGTGCACGGTCTCTTTCACAGATTAAATGATGCTCGTTTTATTCCTTGTGGCGCGCGGGAAGATCTTTAAGGCGCCGAAATTAAGCTTTCGACTTGTGTCTAACCGCGGGTTACAACGATCGTTCCTGCTGTGTAGAAATTTTTGAAGTATCATTAACTGTTACTGAAATAAAGTCTAATGCTCGAACATCGCGCGACGGACAAGCGATAAAAGCGATTGAGATCGTCAAGACGATAGGATCGTTCGTCGCGCATTCCAGAGGAAATACTCATTGGATGGCGCCCTCCCGTAATTACATAACTATTGTACTCTATGAGAGAGCGAAAGAGGGTGAACGAGAATGAAAGTGACAGAAAGAAAGAGAGAGCATGAAAGAGAATGAGAGAGAAAGAAAGCCGAAATATAGAGGAGGAAATCGAGAGGGCAGGCTGTGTGTGATATAGCGATTGACGGTGTGAAAGGGGAAAGAGAATGATAGTGCGCGGAAACGAGAGAGCTGCGTCTTCGCCACGTTGAGAACAGGAAAAAGATGGAAATACGCGAGCGAGAAAAGTGGAAGAAGGAAGTGGAAGAAGATTTAAGAACACGCGAACAAAGTTTCGCACTCACATCGGCGACTCCGAGGGCACCCGGCACATTGTTTCGCTCGTATTTCCTTCGCGGTCCTTGGTTTTCCTTTTTCCGTTTACATCTGTACAATCGAGACATTTTACGTTGTAACGAGGAACTGCACATTTTTAACATAATTTTGATAGGCGCTTGATGGGCACAAAGGCGCTGCGAGAACACGAGGAAAAACACATTATACACATGCAATGAGGGACATTTACACCGCGTATACGTACGTACCATGGAACATACGAGATAAAGTATATACAGTAAGTCGAAAAAAAAAAACGAGATGTAAGTGATATATTAATCTAGACTATAGAGAGAATGCGTTTGTGTAAATTCGGCGTTTGTTCGAAACATTGCTATTTCTCCATATGAGAGAGAACACTTATGACGAAGCCTATCGTAATTTTTATGATAATCATTAAAAAGTATCGCCTAATTACAATTTACGAGACATGCACAATTTACCACTCCGGAACGGACCTCCGAACCTTTGTCAAGTTTTCATACGGATATTTCTACGTTTCTACGTTTATACGGATCTCCAGAAGTAAAAGAGTAATTATCTTACGAGAAGCTTTTTTTATTAAGATCGTAGCATAGATCATAAAGTTGTAAACGAGAAGCGCATTATACACGTGTGAGACACTCCGATATCCGGTAATATCGCCGAGCGATAGAGAGGTAAAGGATCGAGTCTTCACTCGTGTCCGGCATTAATTTCTAAGCGGTTACATACATATTTACGTATAAGGGCGGGAAAGAAGTAAAGTTAAAAGTTGTATAGTAAAACCATTCATTAAATATATCTGTCCGTAAAAATGATCTTTACAACGAAAAGAAAAAAAAAAGATTCATTGTCTTCTTAATAGGACGACACGTTTTGGCGACGAGAGCGAACTTTTTATCGAAATTCTTCACGAGCGAATCGAGACTGATAATATCCGTGCACCCATACCATTTCTCTAGTGATTGTTATCACTCTGAGGCGCCGTCGAGGCAAACCTCGCTCGTTTATTTATTTTGCGCCGGAGACTACAAAATTGTGAATGAGATCTTTGAATCGAGACCGCCTCAGATGCGAAAATACAGTCTCCAATATCTTCGATCAGCAATTATAATAGTAACTAAACTATTCTACATTTATCTATAACCTATAATAAACTGTGAAACAAAGTGTAACAACAGCAAGTATTCATTTCATCACAAAATGCCCATGTCCTACACAACTTATAATTAATACATGTTCTAATACATATATAAGAATTATATACACATTTCTTTTTCTTTGTAAAAATGTCAAAACTTATACTAACTTTTCTAAATTGTTTATTATCGTATCTAACTCATCTTTATTCAGTTCCAAATTTATGATACGCCGAGATCCCTTATCTTCTATTATGAGATCTAACTGCAGTAGAGATTCTCTTAACGAAGCCATCTTGCTCGAACCCATTACCAACTGTAAAGAAATGTAATGACATAAGCCAAGAATATAATCCATTATAAGCAAATAGAATGATTATCAACAAGCATGATACCTTCAATCTCCAATTGTGATCAATCACGGTTGGCAATTTTCTTTTGTAATGTTCCTGCAATAAAGCGTCAGTTAGTTGTTCCCTGCGTACTTTCAAGCAAGTAAGAATGTTTTGTTGCACTTGCTCGGGTAACTCATGATATTCTTGTGGCATCTGGAAAACATTTTCCAATAAAATTTACTTGGAGTACAAAAAAGTTAGAATCATAGTAGATTTATAATATAATTAAGATAAATTATTCTATATTTGAACTTCTTTATACTCCAAGTAAATATGACATATGACACAACAACAAAAGCAAAAGATGTTTTCCAGCAAGAGACAGGCTATTTTTTTTAGGAGATACAATCGACACATGTCATTCGATCTTTGTTATTCAAATCATCATAAATGCCAAAATATTTGTGTTGATTGACACTCCTGAAAGGAAAATAGCCACACATGACTCAATATAATAGAATAATCATATCCTTGTTTGTCAATGTTAAGGTCAAAGTCTCACTACAAATGCTTTGAAGCATTTGATTGACTAATCAGAAAAAAGAATTTATTAATTGACCAATCAAAGAATGCTTCAAAGCATTTGTAGTATCACGTTCCTTTAGACTTGGTTCTATCAATGTAAAATAAACTTTAATCTTGTTTAACTTATTGTTTATCTTTTTCTAATTCTTAGAAATAGAAAAAGATAAAAAGAATTGGACTAAGATTAAAGTTAATCTTACAAGTTGACATAAACGTTCTATCTCTCTTGGCATTCAGTAAGTAACAAACATAAAAAGACACTTATATCAACTTTGTGTTACCAAATAGAAAGCATAGTGTGATTGACTAGATGATAACCAGTTTCTCAATAGTTATACCTTTTCCTCTACCATATAGAGAGAGGTAGGATTTCGTAATAACGATGATATCAGTTTGTAAACTCCTTCGTACTCCGCTCTGCTCCAATCCATGCTGTTGGCGAATTTGCGATACGATGGTCCTGGGCGACCGCAGATCTCGTCGACGCATGCATGCAACAGCTTAATACAAAATGAAATTGTTACACGATGTCAGACAAAAATAAGGACACACATTATTGTATTACAAACCTCCTTTAAGACGTCGCTCTTTTCCTCGCTGAAGAGGCTGATGTACAGTGACTGATTATTCTCCATCATTCTTTTCAACGTGTATTCCCCTTTCATCGACAGTGTCAATGTCAACGTGAAGGCAGATTAAAATTTAAATTCTACAAAATCTTATAATTGTACAAAATGTCATGATTACATTGTATCTCGCATTCAATTGACAGAAGATTCTTGACTCTCTAATCAAATGCAAGAATGCACTTGAGAGGATTTTTTAAGTATTTCCACTGGTTGATGATTTTATGTCTTCAACTTGAGATTACATGATACCCGAATGTTAAAACTCTGAATATGTTATATGTTATAATTCTTAAATTATTTTCCTTAATACAATTTTAAATAATTCTGACTTTGGCCTTCCTTGATGGGTTCGAATAATTGCTGAAAATGCACTAGATGTTTGAGGTTAGGAAAACGCTTTTGATATTTCGCCAGCAGCTCTCGTCATCTGCTGGCAAATCTTAGAAATACGAAATGCACACAAATTTCCATCAACTGATAATAGTCAGTCGGTTCTGAAAAAAGGCGAATGATCGCTTTCAAATTTCTATCTGCAGTATCTACATATATGAAACCGATTTTACCGACTGAGTTACGTAAACTTTACTTTCTTCCTGTCAGATGGCGCCACTAATCCTGGCGCGCTGTCTCGATTTCAAACGGCAGTTGCACTAGTTCCCCGCCATTGTTACCCACCGCTAGACGTAATTCGCATCAATTTCGCAGCAGTTTTTGCGAGTGTATGGCTGCGTATGTACATTTTTGTCGCGATTCCTTCTGTCTTGTTCCCTCTGGATCCTCCTGCAGATTTGACGACACATTTTGAGTTAAGGTATCCCCAGTCCTTTCCTTAATTAAATCTAGGCATAAAATTGCTCGACTATTCGCGTATGTATTTGTATGTATGCAAGTATATATATGTATAGATCGCCGATCGATCCGAATTTTTAGACGGAATTAACCGCGGACACTGACATGATTTTGTACTTATTGGAACGTTTATCGTTGTTATCTGCTTCTATCTACATTCTACGTGATATACACGTTGATTTACGTTCTTCCTGCGGTTGGTGAGTGACCTAATTATGGCTGCCACCATTTTCAACCGGAGACTCCAACTTTTTGTACGAATCTCCGGCACTCTGATTTTTTATAATTTTATATAATGAATCTGTAGCTTTTCGGTTAATGTAAAAAATCTTCGGCTAACGTTTAAAATTTAGATAGTCTTTTTTTAATATGCGAATTTATTTCCTCTGGTTTCGGGAAAAATTCTCCAGCAAAGAGTTACGTTTGATGGCCTCTCTCTCTCTCTCTCTCTCTCTCTCTCTCTCTCCCCTCCCCCTCCCTCCCTCCTCCCTCCCCCTCCTTTCTTTTTCTTTTTTTTTTAAAGAGAGAGAAAGCACCACAAAAGAGTGGAAGCACAGCTTTCATAACGTACAATGTGTAATGCATAAGAAAATTCATCAAAATCCTTCATTTCCTTTCTTTCTATGAAATAAAAAACTGATTCGTTGATTTTCTTAAGGCCCAATTGCTTCAACGTTACTTTGACTTTAAGCAAGGCTTAAAACTCTTTCTCTGTCTCTCTTTCTTTCTAAAAGTAAATCAGTGTATTATTACTGACATCAATGCTACATTTATAATTGATGTAATCATCAACGAATATTTACTGTTTTTCAGTAATAATACACTGATTCATTTTTAAAGATTATGATTTCAGATTAAATCGGTATATAACTTTTAAAAATGAATCAGTGTATTATTACTGAAAAACAGTAAATATTCGCTGATGATTACAGTTATAAGTGTAGTACTGAAGTCAGTAATAATACATTAATTCACTTTTAGAGAGTTTGCTTTAAAACGAGACAGAGTTTTAAAGTCAAAATAAATAGTAAGTTGGTGCAACCGGGCCTTATTGACTTTCTACTATAAGCCATTACCTAAGTTTTAAGCCGTGAAAAATGACAATCAGTCGAATGTGAGGAGAATAGTTGACTATGATCAATTTCTCACAGCTTTTTTTAGGCTTAAAGCTTAAGTTTTATGCCTTAAAATCTCATTGTAGGCGCCACTTTATAAGTTTTCTACAATAAGTCGTTACTTAAGCTTCAAGCCGTAAGTTGTAAGAAATTAATCAATCATAATCAATCATTATTCTTTTCACATTTGACTGTGATTGATTGATTTTTTATTAGAACTTAAAGTTTAGGTAATAGCTTATTATAGAAAGCCTTTAATGCGTTATGCAAGAATCTGCACTCTTGTTAATGTCGATAATAGGAAGCGTTTTCTGGTAGTAGCAATCTTTAGCAGGAAGACCATATCTCGTAACCTTTTTTTATTCTTTTAGAGAGAAGCTAAAAATTTTGACAGAATATTGCGATCTTCAGTAAGAGGGTTGTCGATCTCCAGAAGAATTACTCCAAAGGTGGCAACTCACACAATCCTTCTACTTTGTCTTCATCTAGCATGCACTTATGGCCACAATTTGCATAGACAAATCATAATCAAAATTAAATGCAGAAAAATTACATGCACAGAAGTGAAATTTCAAGTTTTGTGTTGAATTATCGATAGGTACAAAATTAATTCTCGTTTTCATTTCATTAGATGATCCTTAGAACTGCGAATCTGTAAACCGTAACTTCCATGATTTTCTATAATTCTTTCACAATCGCAAGGAGGGATTTACTCGAATATTTATTATATTTATAATTATATAAATTTTGAAGCAGAAATTGATATTCGTAATTCAAACGTAACACGAAATTATATATTTAACATAATCAATCTAACATATTTTGCTGTATTATTATATTCAAAATTATAGATATTTAATATAATATATACATATTATAATATATATTTATATAATATACATAAGTAAATATAAATGAAAAATGCATGTAGATATGCGTGCAAGGCGGTTGGTAAAAGTGCTTTCCCATTTAGGTTGAAAAATAACACGAGGCAGATATGCGCTTTCCGC